AACCAGGGCCACTTTCCTAGGAGCCACGGCCACCCCCAGGGGCTGTGTGTGCCTTGCTGGGCCTCACGTGTGCCGGTAACACGACTTCTTTCTGCTCCTCCAGACAGGGGGATAATCATGACTTTCGGCAGTGGCAGCAATGGCTGTTTGGGGCACGGAAACTTCACGGATGTAAGCCAGGTTTGTCGTGAGGGTGTTGGGCGTGCTGCTCCCCCAGGGTAGAGGATGGATCGTGCCTTCTGCGCCACGTGAGAGGGCTCATCTCAGCTCCAGGGATGTGCATCCCAGGCATGCTCGGGCATCCGACCCCCTCCCCCTCCTCTCCCTGTCACTGTGGGTTTTAAAAAACCCAACCTGCCTCTCTCTTTCTCTCTCCCCCCCTACACAATGATCCCTTTGAGCATGGGGGAAGTCAAGAGCTGCCTTGTGGTTGCTGTTGGCAGGCACCCAGCTTGGAGGCTGCCTCCCATCACACACCTGCCTGCTTCACTCTTGGCCTGCAGCTGCCAGGGTTCACTGAGAAAAGTTATTTTTCAAAAGAGCCAGTATTTAGAGAAGGGCTGTGTGCTTCCGATTGGCTTGGAATACTAGGGCTGAGGGCCTGTCGCTCCCTTCCAGCTTCTTCCTCGCCTGCCCTCGTGGGGCCCCCGTGCTGGTGTCGTCCAGCCGAGCCCGGGGACTGGTGCCATTTGTCACTGTGGTCAGCTGGCTCGTTCGTTCCCGCTCCGTCCGGAGCTGAGCTGCTGGGTGCTTATTGCTGGGAAGGGGAGACCAGTTGGGAGCAGCAGCCAGATCCCAACAAATGGTGCTTTTCACTTGGAGAAGATAATGAGAATGAGGCTGGCTGTGGCGAGGTGTCAGATCTAACAGCAGGTCACAGCAGGGGCCGGGCGAAATGTGGAGATCCCGGTCTCTCCACACCCTAACGAATATGTAGCCGATAGCTCACAGCTCCTCTGCCCAAGAGCCTTTCAGCCAACGCATCCTGCACCAAGCCCCTGCCTGCTCGGAGCGTGCGTTAGCAGACCCTGGCACTTCCCACGTGGGCAGGCGGGGGAA